ACTGCTTGTCACCTGTCAGAGCCACCTGGGGCCAGTGGGATGTTTAACCCTGTGTTACAGATGAGGAGAGTGAGGCTCAGAGAGGTGGAGTCACCTGCCCAAGGTCACACAGCCAGCAGGCTATACTAATCCTAACAGTTCACAGTTACTCAGTAGCTCCGCACATCGGGAGCTCACTGGATCACAGCAGCCTTTGAGGTGGGCTCTATTTAATGCCCATCTTGTGGATGGACGCGGCGCAGGACCACCTGCCCGAGGGCCCCAGCCAGCACGGCCCCAGAGCGGGGCAGCTATAACAAGCAGACTCGTCTGTGAGGCATGAGGTCTGGCGTTGCATATCCTGGACTCTCCTCCCCACGGCGTCACATTTCCCCAGAACAATGGTGGCTGCTGCCTCCTCCGACAGCACCCTGGGCCGGTGTCTGCCCACCATGGGGACACCCATCTGTCCCAGAGCCAGAGCCCCTCCCAGAAGCCAAACAGGTTGCCTTGGTTCAAACTCTGCCCCAGACCAGGCTGAGGCCCATCAGATCCTTCCACTCCCTCACCCCCGGACCCTCAGCACCAGGCTAGCCCCTGGCAGCACCCCAGGGGGCCGGGGTAGAGCTGTCACACACACACCATGTGCACCCATGTGCGGATACACGTGCAGACGTGTTTAAGTGTGGGTGCGGCGCCCACCGGGGCTGGGAGGGCTGGGATACCACCTGCCCGAGGGCCCCGGCCAGCACGACCCCCGGAGCGGGGCAGCTATAAACAACAAGCAGACTCGTCTGTGAGGCACGAGGTCTGGCGTTGCATATCCTGGACTCTCCTCCCCACGACCACCTGCCCGAGGGCCCCAGCCAGCACGGCCCCAGAGCGGGGCAGCTATAACAAGCAGACTCGTCTGTGAGGCATGAGGTCTGGCGTTGCATATCCTGGACTCTCCTCCCCACGGCGTCACATTTCCCCAGAACAATGGTGGCTGCTGCCTCCTCCGACAGCACCCTGGGCCGGTGTCTGCCCACCATGGGGACACCCATCTGTCCCAGAGCCAGAGCCCCTCCCAGAAGCCAAACAGGTTGCCTTGGTTCAAACTCTGCCCCAGACCAGGCTGAGGCCCATCAGATCCTTCCACTCCCTCACCCCCGGACCCTCAGCACCAGGCTAGCCCCTGGCAGCACCCCAGTGGGCCGGGGTAGAGCTGTCTCACACACACACCATGTGTACCCATGTGCGGATACACGTGCAGACGTGTTTAAGTGTGGGTGCGGCGCCCACCGGGGCTGGGAGGGCTGGGAGGGGGGTGGCCCATCTGCTCCCAGGCCAGCCATGCAGATGGCGCTATTTACCAAACTCCTGTTCCCCACGCCCCTGCCCGAGCCTGAGGCTCAGATTTCCAGGCTTCTTTTCCAAAACTGGTGGGAAGGAGGAGGCCCTGGGAGAGCTCCCCCAGCTCCTGTGCAGCTCTGGTGGGGCGGGGTCAGGGTCTGTACCAGGTGCCACCGGGCTGGGCCCTGGGCGGGACGCTGCCTCTTGCCTCCAGGCCTTTGCACAGTCTGTTCCTGCAGCCTGGGTGCCCTGCCCCCTCGGCATCGCTGGCTCACACCTGCTCCATCGGATGTCTCAGTGCCACCGTCCCTCACTCCCTGCTAGGTCAGGGTTCCAAGTCCCCAAATGCCCCCATGTGAGGAGGGAGGTCCATGCTGGACAAGTACTCAGTGCACAGAGCGAATGAACAGATGCGTGAAGGTGACAACCCTGGGGCGGGAATAAGGACCCCGGGGTCCCTGGGTCCCTGCCTCTGAGAGGCCAGCAGCTGACACAGCCACAGGCTGGAACCTCAGGACCGGCCTCGCTGGATCTCCTCTGCTTCTGGGCACACCCCAGCTCTTTCTCTGTAGGGTGAACCCTTCCAGAATGTTCTGCCAAGATGTCCTATTGGGGTTTGCCTCTGGGGTTGCCAGACTCCCGCAGGCCCAGCCCCCCGGCCCTGGTTCTGCCTTCAGGGGCCCCAGGGCCCCCTCCTGATATGTGATACCTGCCCCCAGCCAGCCAGCCCCCAGCCCCTGCAGGTGGCTGGGCTTGCCTGCCCACAAACTTGATAATTTTCTGGACGACGCTGGCCGTGGAGGCCCCCAGAGATGTTCCTAGTCTGGCTGCTCCTCGTTTGGACACTGAGTGTTACCTGCAGGGACATCCCAGGGCCCAAGGGGCCACACAACCGCCGCAGAGGGTGCTGTCCTCAGAGCCACAGCCCTTAGGGACCAGGCTGGGGACCAGAGGCCCCTGGGCAGCCGCCTCCTTCCCCAGCTGCTTCCTCCAGGGTCTTGGCCCCAGAAGGTCTCAAATACAAGCCTCTGGTGCCCTCTGGTGGCCAAATGGAGCAGCGCACACAGCTGCTGGTGGCTATTGCGTGTGGGTTACTCTGGGGGTCTCTCCCTGGACCCCAAGAGCCACTCAAGCCATGGCCAGACCCATCACACACTCACCCACTCACTCTACCAGCCCTGAATGCCACCCATCCTCAGTCCTGCTGGCACGGAAGGAGGGGCCTTCTACCGCAGGAGCCCTTGCAGAACCCTGGTCTCCTGCTCCCGCCTTGAATACCCCCTGGGACGGGGATCTCACTGCCCAGCTCATTCAGCATGGACAGAGGAGCTTTTTATTCTGCGCTGACAGTTGTTCTTACTGACCTTCCTCTGCCTGCAGGAGTCCCTATGTCAGGTCTGACCATCATACGATCAGGGCGCGTCCCTGTCATTGAACGCTCACTGCGTGCCAGGCCTCTATTGTAATTTCCCTACTCACAACTTCCCGCCGACCCATGAGCTGGTCCCATTTTATCTGTATGGGGGTGAAGTCACACAGCGTGAAAGCGGGGGGGAGCCAGCTGTACGGGCCTTGACCTCTGCTAACTCAGGGTTTCTGGCCCTTTCTACCACATAGATGGCGACGCATGCTCTGTGACCTCGGCCAGTGGCAATGTCCCCAACGCTCAGCCTCAAGTTGGCCAAATGGGGTGACATCACTCCCACCGCACGTGGAAACGCACGTACTGGTAATATTCCTCCTATTCAGTCCGTCCGCTGTGCACCTGGCAGTTATGTGGGGGAACCCACAGTGACCAAGGGCCATCTGTCCATCACCCGGCGCCCATGTCTCCCTCTGCAGCCCTGGCCTCCCACCTCTGCCCGGCCTACCCCTGGTCTCACCTTGCCCGTAGCGCCGTGGGACACATACTTGGCTCCCTCTCGCTGGGCGATCTCCACTTGTTTGCGGGCGATGCAGGGCCTGGCCAGAGAGGTGCCCAGGAGGTAGCGGTCCTCATACAGCGCACTGGACTGGACGGCGGGCCAGATGAACTCCTCCACAAACTCCTTGCTGACGTCCTCGATGAACACCTACGGGGGAGCCCAGGGGAGGGAGACTCAGCAGGGGGGGCCCTCGTCAGGAGGCAGAGCCCCAGGCGACGTACAGGGTCTGCGTCTAAGGCAGACACTGCTAACGGACCCTGGCAAGCTGCACCTCCGCTTTTCATTCTGCATCTGGAGGAGACATCGCTAATCAATCCAGCCTACTCTACCCTTACTCTCTGTCCTGTACTCGGGGCAGACATTGTTAATCAATCCGGATACACCACCCCACTGACACTAGCTGTGGTCCTTCAATCCCTCCTAACACAGCATTCTGGGCCTGAAATGAAACTCAGCTGCCACCTAAGGTCTAGAGCAGTAGAGAGATGTCAGCCACAAAAGCCAGCGATGACTGTCCCCAGGGTCAGCTGGCAATGCCCGAAGATCGTTTTGGTTTGGGATGGGCAGGGGTTCTGGCATCTAGTGGGCAGAGGACAGAGATGCTGGCTCTCAAAATGCATGCCCCGGGGGTCCCCAAGCCCCTTTCCGGGAGACTCTGAGCAAAAACATTTGATATAATGATACAATCATTACATTCAAAAGCCACGGTGGGCAGCGGGGCTTGCCCCCGAGCACCAATGGGCTGTTGTGTTCCACAGCCTTGCTTCTGGTGCCAACTGCACTTCAGAATGGTCTGGAGGTGGTTACGATGGTTACTTTTGCTACATCTCGACCCTGGAGCAGGGACTGTGAGATACACACAAAGCACATGGGCTGCCTTCCAGGTGAGTTACACGTGCCCTGCAGAGGGACCTGCTTCTGATTGGGTGCCAGGAACGCCCCCCCCCCCCCCGGGAGCGGCTCACACTTGCATTGTGAGCCCAGGTGAGCAGGGACCACCACACTGGGTGGCTCACCGTATGGGCCCCGCACCCAGCACAGGGCCTGCGAGCCACACAGCTAGATGCTCAATCAATGTGCTGAGCTCAGCTGGCGTTTCCTGCTGCTGCTGAATGGATGGGAGGAGGGGTGTATGGGTGCAGATGAATGAGGGATGGACAGGTGGATGGGCAGATGAAAGGGCCGATGAGTGGGTGGATGGGCGGCTGGACAGAGAGATGGACAGGTGGATGAGTGAGTGGAGGAGGAAGATGGATGGATGCGGGGGTGGTTGGGTGGAGGAGTGGCTGAGTGTGTACTCACACACCTGGAAGGAATTTATTTCCCTCTTGGAAGCAAGAGGACCCATCAGAAGGGAGTCGGGGCACAAGGAGCTTTGGAACAGGGAGGCCCACTGCTGCCCCACCATGTCCAAACCCCACTTCCTGTCCCAGACCCGCCTCCCACTTGGTACCTTTTTGGCCCCGAGCTTCAGCGCCTTCTTCCTGGCCTCCTCAAAGTCTTCCTTCTGGCCGATGTTGGCCTGAGGGGCGGGAGCAGAGGCCCATCAGTCCAGGGAATGTCAGTCCCTGGATGGGCCCCGGGCAAGAGCCGTCCACATAACAGCCCTCAAATGGAGGGGTTTCCATGGAGGGTGAGGCCCCAGGGAGGAGAGAGGGCACCGGAATATTTCCAGGAGCTACCACTGTGGGGGAGAGGACTGGACAGGCCTGGCCCTGGGCAGCAACGTTTGCTAACACTGACTTGAAGGTCAAAGGCTTCCCTTGAACCATCTATCTCTTCCCACAATCCCCCCCCCCTCCCCCAGGACAAAGCCAGGTGCAGCCACTTGACCATCCATTGAAGCCAGCAGGTGGCAGAGAGGCCTGTGTCTGGTCTCCCAGCGGCCCTGCGCCCCGGCCTGGCCTCCAGTTCCTTGGGCCCCGCCTGGACACAGACGTGGCCGCACACTGGCCCTGCATTCTGCTCAGGTGAGTCCCACAGGACAGCTGCCTGCTCTGTGCTCTGGGGGACATCTCGAGGCCTGGGGACACCCAGGACGCTCTGTTTATGGCAGCGGTTCTCAACCTGTGGGTCACAACCCCTTTGGCGGTCGAACGACCCTTTCACAGGGGTCGCCTAAGACCATCCTGCATATCAGATATTTACATGACGATTCATAACAGTAGCAACATTAGTTATGAAGTAGCAACGAAAATAATTTTATGGTTGGGTCCCAACATGAGGAACTGTATTTAAAGGGCCAGAAGGTTGAGAACCACTGGTTTACGGGGAAGAAAGGGAGGTGGTGCAGGGAGAGCGTTTCCCACGGTTCAAGACAGATACAGAGGGGGAGCGGGCTGGGAGTGAGGTGAGCGGCGGGCAGCTGGGTGCGGGGCAGGCAGGAAGACACACTCCGCGCCTCCTCACCAGGTAGGCGATGACGTCATAGCCTTCGGTGCAGGGAGAGCGTTTCCCACGGTTCAAGACAGACACAGAGGGGGAGCGGGCTGGGGAGTGACAGTGAGCGGCGGGCAGCTGGGTGCGGGGCAGGCCGGAAGACACACTCGGCGCCTCCTCACCAGGTAGGCGATGACGTCATAGCCTTGTTCCTTCAGCCACACGAGGATGCAGGAGGTGTCCAGGCCACCACTGTAGGCCAGAACCACGGAGCCTTTGCTGGACATGGTCTGCAGGGAGTTGAGGAAGAATGTGAGGGATGGATCCGGCCTGTCCCGCCCCGCCTGCCAGCCCCAGCAAACAGCTCCCTCCTGGCCCGTCCCCCCCCCTCCCCGCCCCCCCAAGCCTCAAAAAGCCTCATTCCCCGACAAGCTGCCACAGGATGTTCGCCATCACCAGGGCCAGCTGAGGACGCCTCCCTCCTGAAGCCACACCCCTCCACACCCCCATCCCCAGCAGGACGCAGGCGCCTGCACACTGGACACTCCCCATGTGCCTGGAGGCCCAGAGAGGTGAAGGGTGGCCCCATGGCCCCGCCCTGTGCAGCGGAGCCTGGACACAGCTGGACGCTGCGGCCAGACACGTCCTCCATGCAGTTCCTCATGTCTCACAGGTCCACCCCCACCCCCCCAGCCCCGGGGCCCACGTCCCTACTGCCCTTCGGACTTGGAAGAAAAGGCCTCTCGGGACAGTGAGGTTGGGGGTGGATCTGATTGATACCCACAACTCTCCCCTCCACTGGCCATTCAACCACCTGCCAGGCCCCGCCCCTGGGGCCAGCAGAGGTGCCCATGGCAACCTCAGCCACACAACAGACCATTAAGGATGGAGGGGAGTCGGGCGGAGGGAGGCAGGAGGTACCTGGGTGAAGGTGTGGGTTCCTGGCTTCTGGAATCTGTCGTCACTGCTTGGCGAACCACTCTGCAGAACCAAAAGCTGCTCAGTTTCCAGGTGCAGCAGCCTCAGTGGGGGTGCGGGTCGGGAGGGGGTGCCAGAGGCCCTGAACTAGCCTTCCCAGCCACCAGAACCCCCTTTTAGCAGCCTGGCTGAGCGAGCACATTTGGGGAGGCGTGGTGGGGCCACTGAGGCAGCGCAGGGCAGACAGCGGGTGGCCTGCCTGTCTCCACGGAGCTGCCCCTCCCCCACCCTGGTGCCCACCCTGTTGCATATTCATGCAATAAACTGCATATATTGAGGGCATCCAACAAATACGTCCCAGCACCCCTGAAACCATCACCACAATCAAGATAATGAACATGTTGCCCGGCCGGTGAGGCCCAGTGGTTGAGCGTCGACCTATGAACCAGGAGGTCACGGTTTGATTCCCGGTCGGGGCACATGCCTGGGCTGCAGGCTCGATCCCCAGTAGAGGGCGTGCAGGAGGCAGCCGATCAGTGATCCTCTCTCATCATTAATGTTTCTATCTCTCCCTCTCCCTTCCTCTCTCTGAAATCAATAAAAACATATTTTAAAAAAAGATAACGAACATGTCTATTACACACTGAGTAGTCCACGTGTGTGACATCGTGTTAGAGACAGGTAAACTGAGGCTCAGGTGAAAGAACCTGCGCAAAGTCTTGCTTAGCTGGGAAGTGGCAGAGCCAGGATGGAAACCCAGACCAGCCTGTCTGCCCTGCTCTGCCTCAGTGGCCCCACCACGCCTCGGATGGGGCCCATCGCAGCACAGGTCACGATGAATTCCAACTGCCCTCGTCCCCCACTGTGAGCTCCGTGGGGACAGGGACCATCTGCCAGTGCCCGGCACGTGGCAGGCACTCAGGACAATGCTGCCTATTCTGCTGTTTGGCGATCAATTCCTCACCTACAAAGAGGGAGTTAAAATCCCCTCCACGTCTGGAACCCTGCGCGCGCCCCTTCAGAGACGAGTGAGCCCTCCTGCCTGCCAGGCTGCGCGCCTGCGGGGGCAGGAGGCCCTCAGCCTCGGGGCTGCGCGGTGTGCCAGACGCATGCATCTCAGAGCGAACGTGTGCATGCATGTGTGTGACCAGAGATTATGAGCTGGGCGGTGGCCTGGGAAAATGATGCAATCGGACACTGGCCTTGCTCCTGCCCTCCCAGCATCGGGGAAGCTCCTCCCAGCCAGCCAGGCCCCTGCGGCAGCAGCTGAAGGAAGCTGAGGCTTCGGCGTGGGGGAGGTAGACAGGGAGGCGAAGGGAGATCAGCCACGGTCCAGTGAGCCCGGAAGCACACTGAACGGGTCCTCTGACCTGGGTTCTAGTTACTTAGGCTGCTCATCTGCGAAACAGTGGCGAACAGCCCATTCTCCCCCAGGCCTGCAAGGATTCAGGGAGATGCGGGGGAAGGAGCCCAGAGCTGGGCATTGAGCCTGTGCCCGCTGAACTCTCCTCCCACTGTCTCGGCTGAGCCTGGGCAAGCCCCTCACGCTCCAGGCCTCCATCCCACCGTCCACACAACCTGAAAACCCTCTGGCTCTGACACTGGGCTGCCTGCCTGGGGAAGGCGTCTATCGGATCCTGGCTGGACTCAGCCTCCCCCAACCCCAGCCTTGCCCCACCCCACCCTACATGAACTGCCCACGGCAGGCTTTCTCAGCTCCCGATGCCAGCCCCGTCGTCCTTTGCCAGAGGGAAGAAGGTGGCAGCATGACAAGACGCCTGGCCTAAGTTGGAAAGGCAGGGGGCCTTCTCCTTGGCCCCAGCCAGAGCCATCCCACCGGCCTCCAGGGGAAGCACCGGGCCAGCCGGGCACTCGCTCGGTACTAAGGAAACCCACACACTCTACAACGTCAGAGCTGGGACGATGACAAGAGCAGAGACCATGCCGGTGCCACGGGCGTGAATTCACGTGTGTGATTTCAAGGTGGAGACTCTCATAGGCGAAGTGACTTGCCCACGGCGGCCGTGCGGGCTAGAAGCCAGGCTGACTGCAGACTGCCTGCTCCTTGCTGCCTGTGGCCTATACGCTTGGCCTCTAGGAGACCACAGCGCTCTCCCCCACTTTACACGGATGCACCACCACCAGTCAGCATTCTCTATGTCGCATGTCAGCCCAGAGAATGTTCTGGAACCTCTCTCCGACATTCTAGGTCCGTTGAGCTGCGGTCATTGGTTTAGAGCCCTCACTCCACCTAGGCCACAGGAATTCTCCTGGACCTCGGGATTTCCTCATCCTCCGATTGCAGCTCCTACTACCCCTTTGCTGCCCTCGTCAATGTGTGATAGAGCCAGCCTGCAATTCCACACTCTGACCACAAGGTAGCGCTGTCAGGGTTCAGCCTGAACAGTTGCTGGACAGGCTCCACTCATTGCATCTGCATGTTGTTGGTGAGACAAACTGGGGGAGGGGGGAGTGGGGGTGTTCTTCCCAAATGACAGGCAAGGAAGCTGAGGGCAGGAGGGAGCCCTCACCTGTGATTCCTGAGGCCTGAGAACCAATCAGGAACACTGGGCTCTATTGGGGCCACCAGCACCCCAGAAAGGTTCCTCTACCCAGCGTTGGAGGTCATTTGGGAGTTTGCCTTGGCTTAGGGAGGCGGAGTCTCCAGGCTCAATGAAAAGGCCCTGGGGTAGGTGGAAGGGGGGGTGCATAAATCTCATTGCTCGAACCCTCTCCTCCGGGCATTTGGCTGTGGGGAGAGAGTGCATTTACTCATGTGTTTATTCTGCTAATAGCATTGAACTTCCTGGCCTACCCAAGAATGGGGCGGGTGCCCGCCCGAAGGAGCGAGGGCGCCAAGGCTGGGAGGTCCACTTTTCCCAGCGTTTTATAGCAGAAACCAGAGCCTCAGGCCCCGGATTCCAGCGGGCTCTTTCCACAGGCAGGACACTCGCTTCTGGGGCTGTTCTGGCAGCCTCCCGGGCCCAGGGAAAACTGCTTGCATAGCAGGTTCGCCTGGGCCTGCCCCCTCCTCACCCCCACCCCCACCCCCACCCCCCAAAAGTCAGGCTCCTGGGGCCCTGGGCCAGGAAAAGAAACGGTTACTATCAGAGCCAACTGAGCCCAGAGCAGGCAGGCAGCGGACGGGGGCACATGGGAGCACTTGGGGGAGCCCAGTGCTGGGTGGGAGCCTTCCCCCTCCACTCTCCCCGGTGCCCGCCCAGCCTGGGTGCCCAGCGGGCAGGACACGCCACTCCTTGGCTAGCACTGAGCACAGCCAGAGTGACTTCCCCTGGCACAGCCCCACCCAGGCCCCTGCCCAGGCCGAGAGGGGGCCGAGGGGGAGGGGGTTAAGGGAGACTCCTCCAGGTCCTGCGTCCCAGTTCCCAGCCCCTTTGTGCAGTTTCTGCCTCTGCCACCAGCACCTAAGGTAGGAGGGGAGGGACCCTGGGTCCCGTCCTGCCCCCAGCGTGGCACGGCCCCAGGCACAGCCACAAGTCTGCAGAGACCTGCCCCTGAGCCCCGAGCCCCGGCAGCTCTGACAGGGGAGGAAACTGAGGTTGGGAAGCGGAGAGGCGGACCCAAGGCCTCACCCAGATGTGCCTGCCTCCGGGCTCAGGTCCACTGGCCCCCAGGCCTGACCTCTCTGCCTCCAGCCTGGGCTGGGAAAGGGCGCAAAGCCCCCAGCGGGTTCGACCCTTCCCTGGACAGAGGGCAGGTCTGTTCCTGCCCAGATGTGCAGCCGCCTCCTCGGGTCCAGAGAGGAACCCTGGGGGGGGGGCGGTCAGGGGAGGGTCAGGGGGTCACGGGGCCTCCTCAGGAAGCGCCCAGTGTGATGGGAGAGGAGTTTCCTCCTTTTCACAATGACCCTCCCTCCCTGCAGGGCGCAGCCGCCCGAGGGGCCAAAGGCAACAGCCGCCCGGATGGCGGGCATT